TATCAGCATGAAGGCAAGATCCTCCACCATCAAAAATGTTATGACTTTCTGAAGGCACTGATAATTATTAGCATATGAATGAATATAAATAAATAAATATTTTGATACTCTTGGTTGAAGACAGGTCCTTCCCATTGAGCTGCACATTCCTAGAACTGTTTACTTTTTATTTTGAAAAAGAGTCTTTCTAAGTTGCCAGGTTAGGCTGGAACTTTCCTCGACCTCGAAAAGTGCTGGGATTACAGGTGTGCATCACGATGCCAAGTCTGTATGATGTTTTCTAGACATAATGCTATGACACACTTAATAGGCTACAGAATAGTATAAATAATATTTATATGCATAGGGAAACCAGAAAAATTAGTGTCACTTGGTTTATTGCAGAAGGAACCAAATCCACATTATCTTTGAAGGATGCTTATCCAATTTTTGTTGTATAAAATTAAGAAAGAATATGACAAACTGTTTTTTAAACTTTAGAAATGTTAATATATCAAAATACACTATGAAAATACACTGACTCTCAGAAAGTAGGATAATTTGAGATTTCCCCCAAACTTACCTGTGCACAGAATCATCCCTTTAGTACTTTTTAGGAATCTAGTGTTACCAAGAATATATTTTAGTAAACTCATTCTAGGTGGTAGGTGAGCTGTCATGATTTATATCTAGATGCTCCTGTCCAATACCTTGTGGACTCGTAATGCGGCTTCTGGGAGGTGACTGGATGGGTCATGGGACGTGATACTTATCAGTTCACTACGGAGTTTATAGCTAAATGTGATTTGGGAAATTAAGCCTGGTTGGAGGAGGTAGGTCACCCAGGGCATAGCCTGGAAGGCTTTATCTCTTTTCCTCCTACCCTGAGTTTTCTCTGCTTCCCACCACTGTGGCATGACCTGTTTGTCCTCTGCCATATTCCTCAGCCTTGCTGCCCTGCTCTGGAGCCAGCTGACTATGCAGTCAGACCTTTATAGACTGTAAAAAAAATAAGCCTGCCCTCCTTAGAATTGTGGGTGTCAGCTATTGTGTGATGAGAGAGTAACAAACACATGAATTAATAAGCAGAATATGATAAACAGCATTGAAACTGTTTTAGAGAAAGAAATAATACTTACGGCTGGAAGGAATTGGGAGAGATTTCAGGAAAAAAGAATTTATGTGGGTTCTGAAGCATGAGAACAATATTGACAGAAATGCTTGGTAAGAAGGAGTATTTTTAGGTGGAAGAGACCTGGCTGAGAACATAGAGATGAGAAAAGCAGAAACTTTCTCAAGGAAGCACAGTTTTTTTTTGTTTTGTTTTGTTTTGTTTTTTACCACATCCACAAAAGGATCTTCTTAGGTAGGTTCAAATAGATATACATCCGATGCCCACAAACTACACTGGTTCTAGTCTACTTAGTAGGATTCAGGACAGGAAGGATGTAGGGCAATGTAGGGACAATGGTCTTTAGAAGAGAAAATAGAACCTCCTTAGGTTTTCTAGCTAATCCTTACTAGGTGGAGTTAAAAATAAACTTTTAATTATCAGAGATATCCCCCTGGGAAGCAAGTGACAGTAGAAATAGAAAAAAAAAAAAAAAGATAAGGCAGCAAAAGGTCTTGGAATTTGGACCAAGAGATCAAAAAAAAAAAAAAAAAAAAAAAAAAAGCAGAGAGAAAACCAGATGTGTAAAACATAATCTGCCCCCCACTGCCAATAAAATACATGGGAAGCAATTGGGGGCTGACTAAGGCAGTATGTACTTGCACCTATGCACTAACATATGTACCTACATACATGTGTGTTCATCCTAGAGTCACTATTTTATTTTCTCTAGGATCATTATAGAGTCAATATATACGCACACACACTAACCCTAAGCTAATGAAGAATAAGCTGCCAACTAGCTGTCTACTCCAAAGATAAGGCCTAAAAGGTACGTCAAGGACAAGTAAACGAACAGACAGCAAGAAGCTGCACATAGACCAGCAGAAGAACTGATGTTAGGCAGAGGTGCCCAGAAGCTGATCCAGTTATGGCATGTTCTGGGTGGAGGGGAAAGGCTAACTCCCCTATAAAAACAGCTAAGAACCAAGGACCCATGGATCCTCCATCCTCTTGAAGTCTGGCACCCTGATTCTTTATTATCAAAGTATATGACTTTTCCTTTTTCCTGCCTTTTCCTCATTACAAATAAAACGTCTTCTGTTTATTAAATTTCACCCCTCTATTTTATAATTGGGGCTGAGTTACAATCCTAGTGGGCTGCTTGGACCACAGAGCAGTGTGCTTGACCTCCAGATACAACAGCAAGTAGCATCAGGCTTTCCACTTTCCATTGTGTATCAGTCTACACAGGTCTTTATACAGCTGCCCAGCAGCTATTTTCTTCCCCCTAAGTGACATCTCAGGTATAAGGAAAAAATTTCATGTTGAGCAGGTAAGATAGTTTCCCAGATTTAGAAGTTCTCTGTTTCAGTGGCCCCAATATCTCTTGTTAACAACTCCTTGGGAATAGCTTCTCAGGTCCCCATAGGTACTTAATTAGTTCTAAGAGTCATTGTATTAAAATCCAAAGTATAATTTATATAATTATAATTTCTCTCCATGCAGATATAATTTACCCATCAAATATTATTTAACCATGAACAATGCTATGTATGTAATAGTTGATGTAATATATTTATTAGAATTCCAACAGCACTTGAGTGTCAACCAAAGGTCAAGTTCTTATTCAGAAGCTGTGCCCTTTACGTCCAGTTTATATATATTAAACTAGCAAAGCTAAAGGAGGAAAATTATGTGGGATCTTGGATTCCAACTAAAAAGTTTGGATTTATGTAACCTCTGAGTTTCCTGCACAATATGTTTTTGTGAATGTAGGATAAATTTCTAATGGAACATATACTTTCTTATTAGTATATTTTTGCAATACATGATAATATTCTTTATGGTGAATTGGTACATGTACATTATACATCTTGATTCTTTGTATATCCCGTTTCCCTCCATTCTTTCCCCTTCTCTCCATCTCTTGGTTCCACTTCTCATTTGCAAATGATCTATTTCTCTGTTTCCAATTATCTGTCTTTTACTTTGATCTTTAATTTACTTATATTTTGGGTTTCTTATATAAAAGAAATCATGCCATTTTTAAGCTTATGTGTCTGCTTTATTTCATTTAACATCAGGGTTTCCAGGTGTATCCATTTTCCTCAAATGACTCAAATATCCTCCTTTGTAGCAGAGTAGTATTCTATTGTGTGTAAATATCACATTTTCTTTATTCCTTTGATGGACACGTAGGTTGCTTCTAAGATTTAGCTATTATAAATCATGCTGCTATAAACATGGGTATGCATGTATTCTATAATATATCTCTTTAACTATTTGAGAAGATTCATAGAAGGAAAGTAGCTGAATAAATGGAATTTCTGTTTTGAGTTTTTTGAAGAATCTCCATACTGATTTCCATAGTTGTTGTACTAGTTTACATTCCCACCATCAGTGTAGAAGAGTTCCTTTTTCCCCCGCAGCCTCGCCAGCATTTGTTATTATTTGATTTCTTGATGATAGCCATTCTTTCTGAAGTAAGATGGAATCTCACTGTTGTTTTAAATTTGCATTTCTCTAATGGCCAGTGATGTTGAACATTTTTTCAGGTATTATTACCTTAAACAAAGCACACGAAAAGGTATATTTTGGTGTAAAAATATTATAACACTTGAATAGATATCAGTGTTAATATATCTTAGTAGAATCACTGAGAAGTTTTAGTACAGATACACATATATACATCCATCTTCTGAATAAAAACTATCTAAACTGGGCGTGATGGCACACGCCTGTAATCCCAGCACTCAGGAGGCTGAGGCTGGAGGATCCTTGCAAATTCAAGACCAGCCTGGGCTACAAAGTAAGCTCAAGGCCAACCTGAACTGTATAGCAAAGCCCTGTCTCAAAAAGACAAATAAATAAGTAGATAAATAAAAATTTTTAAAAATCTAAAATAGGATTGTGTTCTTTCAACTCATAGAAGGCTGAATCTTGAATAGTACACTTGGAACATAAATATCTGGTGACCTTTTGTTTTGTTCCATCAATGCATGTTCTAATAGCCTAGAGAAAGAAGGGCAAGAATTTTCCAAATCATATGTCCAAATAAGTGCACGGACTTGATTCTGAAGATCTTCGACACAATGGCTTCTCAAAAAGCAGAAGGCTATAGGTAAAGGACTTTTTTTCTGTATGAAATGTAACCTTCGTGTGTCATGAAAGGTTTTGAAGCTTGCATGAAACTTGCTAAAACAATAACCAATTATTCAATGGGCTTATATATGCCATTGCTAGTCTCTCACATCTCAGGACTTAGTACCTGTATGAGACCCTGAGATTCAGTAGCTACCTGACATGGAGTCTCCTGTAGCAGGAACCTTTGCTTCATGGCTTTACTATTCCTTCAAACTCCTACACAGTTTACCTAAGAAACCTGTGTACAAGACCTGGAGGTCCATCAGAAGTAGACATTATCTTCTTCCATGATGACAAGTAACCAATCTGACAAACTGACATTTAATGTGTGACAGTGGACCCAAAGCTGCTTTCCCTCCACTCAGGCAACACATTTAGGATGAAAATGTGGCTGAAAGACACTGTCAAGCACCATTCTTTCCCATCTCACCAGACTCCACATCAGTTTGGGAACATCATTCAACTTCTGTGACACATCTAAAATATGGATCTATGAACCTTTGTCCACAAGCAGGAGAGCACGATCCAGAGAAGGCAGCAGACCATTTATGAGCTGGCTCCTGTCTCCTTAAATAATAAAGGCAGGAATCTACCTCTTCTGTTTCTGTATAGCCCAGGACATCACAAAAATCTCCTTGCCGTTGTTGATGTTTCCAACTAATTGTGTTAAGTTCCCCTTATGACGAAAAGGACTCACAGAAGCCAGCCTACAGCAGGATACTTTTCATGTTGGGGTTTGACAACAGAGGCACACAGTCAGGCATCCAAGAAAATAAATTTATTAAACTTTGAAGGAATACATCCACAGACATCAGAAAAGTTAAATATAGACTGCAGGACACAACTAGTCATACTAGTGAATAATGGCTTGTGTGGCCAGCAAAGTACCAAAATGACATTCTGAGACTGATTGAGGTATTTAACTATTTTTTTTTTTTTTGGCTATAGAAATGTGATCAGCCTATTGTGAAATAAGAAACTTCTTTCAAACAAACAGTTTTAAATTGAATTAGAGTCTACATTAATGATACTTTATATGAAACTAAATGACATAGCTCCTGGAGAAAACCATAGCAGCAAGGTAGCAGAAAACTTATTAAATGAATTTCACTGTTTTTCCTGCAAGAAAGTGGGAATTAAAATCACCAACCACTAAGCTTGCTTCCTCAAAAGGTCTGAGCTAAATGTCAAATACTATTTAAGTCAAAGCTAACTTTAAAAATTTAAGTTAAAAAAATACTGAAAATGAGAAGTATTCTTCAGTGAGATGAAATGGTTCTTTCATGAACCTTTTAGGGAATTGTCCTGTTGAATGATGTTGAGGTTATGGAGGAATTGAAAAAAATCGTATAATAATTAAGCCTTCATCATATTTTTTACTTATTTTTATTTCTGACTACTTGGTTTGAAGCCAGAGTTTCCCCAAGTAAATAAAAAATGATGAAAGTTCTTATCTTTCTTTTAAAAATAAATCCTATAAAAGGTTTAATGAAGAAGCTTCTGCTATTGATCTGATTAATTTTGAGTTATCCTTTGGGCTATAAAACCTTGTGTCTTCTGTCCCCTGCTACTGTGAGCAGTGAGTACGTGTCTGGCTATAGGCTATGAAACAAAGACCTGTTTCTTGAGCTTTCTTTTTCAGTATCCAGTTAACTTCATTCAGTTTGCTTCGATTTACAAAACGTTGCTTGCCCCTTCTTCTCTTCTTAGGTAACTATGATATGCAACCAAGTTGTGTTTGAAGAGACACCACTGTGGAAGTGTTGGAGCTTCTTTTCCACTCCCTTCCCCTCACAGTTCTGAAACCTCCTGGCCCATCAGAGCCAGCCTAACCTCTGATTCTCTTATTGAGCAGCTCTGTGGCTTGAACTGAAGTTCACTGAAGAAAAGGGGGTTTCCCCTTGTACTTTTTGGTTTATGGTATGTTGATCAGTGTAAACATTTTAATAAAGTTTTCTAAATTAAAAATATTTGTTTAAAAATTCAGATACAGTGAATATGTTCCAATAATGCACGTTACTAGATTTTTAAGATTACTTAAGAAGTTTTGGGAGATATAAAAAGACCTTGTAAAAAACTAACTTGTTTGCTTTTCTTTAGGTGTTCTGAACAAAGCATTAAACCAGCCTTACACTGTAGTTGATACATTTTTGGGAGATAGTTCATCATGAACTACAGTACACAGTGTGTTGTGTATTATAAAATAGCCATGCTTGAAATCTAAATTATTAAAAATATCTTTATCAATTTTATGTCAAAATAAATGTTTTATATATCCAAACTATTTTTGGCTTTTTACCTAAAATTTTGCTTCCAAGTTAATTAAAAGAAAAAAAATTAGCCTGTGCTATGACTTGCATTCAATTTCTTGAATTGCAAAAGCCACCTGACATTATTTTGCTTTTTCGAAAAAAAAAGCATTGATTTACTGTATATTAAACGTGTAGGTATTTAATGCTCAGTATCACAAAATTAACACCACAATAGTAAGACAATTACTGAGACAATTTAAAATATGTACAGTTCACAAGGGAATATCTATCTGATTAAGCATTCTCATTTCTTCCTTTTTAATAGCACGTTTCAACATTTCAGGAAAAGGCATTTAGAATCTATACCCGCCCTCACACTCTCCCAAGAAAACATCATTTTGGTTTAAGCATTCATGCCCTAGCCAATTATTTGTGATGAAATATGTCACTTCAGGGAAACTGAGGAAGGGCTACAGCATGATTTTGTTCAGTTGGTCTGTGCTCACGTAGCCGCATGATGAGAGAAATTCTTTGTCAGGCAAAGGCAAGGCAGCCGCGTTGAGTATGAGACCCTGTGGAGACTGCACTATATGAATGGAGGTATAATCTGGGAGAGCCATTTCAGAGCTTGGGGACTGTTCTGGAGGCCCAGACTTCTCAGCAGCAGTGGTAAGGCTTTCTGTGGTGATGTAAGGATCCTCCTGTTTAAAGCTTGGTTCTTCATGTGACTTGACCTCGATGTGAGGGGTCATGACATCGGGGTTTTTGGCATCTCCCTTGAAGAAGCAAGCATTGTCTTTCACGAAGTTTGCTTCTGGGTGCGCTTCACACTGGGACAGTCCTGCCTTATTCTTCTGGCCTGGGGAGAGGACCACACTCCCTGCTGGTGTAATGTCGCTTACCTGGGCATAAAAGTCCATGTTTGCCAGTGAAATAGGATTGCTTATCTGATTAGGGGCATCTTGGTTAGTTGACTCAGTTTTACCAATAAGAAGTGGTTGTGGTTTTTCCTCCTCTGGTGGAATTACAAGGGCCTGCTGAGGATCAGGAGGTGCATCACAAGGTGAATTATTTTGATTCTTCTCATCAAGGCACAAGAGATCAGCTTCCTCTTTTAACTTGTCTGGCTGAACATCCTCAGAGGTGCCATCATTGGCATTGAAATCAGCTTCCAGAATATCAGGTTCATAACAGCTAGTACGTCCAGAGTCACCATCCTTTGCCCCAAGGATATTAAGTGATTTCTGATGGTCACTGCTGAGAAGTCTGTCTGTGTCTGATCCTTCAATCTTTTCATCAGAGTCATCAATATCTAGCTCAATAAATTCAACCCAAGAGTCATCGTTGTAGAATTGAGGCTTAGAGTTATCATGAATGGCTAAGATTGTGTTCACCTCCTCTAATTTTCCTTCCTAGGAAGCAGAAAAAAAATGAAGATCTATGAAAAGATCCTCATAATGATTAAGTAATTTTAAATCTGTACACACAGCTTGCTAAATACTCTCCACATATAGCATAATTTTTCAGATATGACTTAATTAGTGCCATGTAAAATAAATACAGGTTTGTTAATTACCTTAAGGAGATCTGGATCAACTCCTTTAATCTTTGGAACTGGAACTGGGGGCAAAATCAGCATCTTAATCCTTGAAAACACATAAGAATTTTTGTTTGATGTATCTTTTTTATGGGTAGAAATAATACATATGTTCAAAGAAAAAATAAACAGTAAGAAATCACTAGTTGATGTTTACGTGCTGTCCTCTTACTTATAGTTGTTCAAGATACAAAAGTGGAACATATAAAGTGGGAATTCAAACAGCAAGACTGCAAACAGCTCTTTTCAACTATCCAACAAAAACTTAGTAATATGGTTATCAATCCTATACACTTAAACATACATGCAGTTATCCATATCTTCAATTATATTGAAATTGAACAAATCCAAGCAGGCTAATATCACTCTGAACAAAGAATACTACTATCGCTGGGTGTCACATTATGACACTCCAGGATCAGCACTGGGTACTTTAGTGTTTCTTTTTCTTCAAAGTATTTTTTCATTTCATCATGTGTCATAAGATCAGTTCACATAAACTGTTTATGGATTTTATATATGCATAAGTCTTAACATGTATTTCTATCCTTTTTATATTGGAGGGAGAAACAAGACAAAGCAGGACAAAACAAAACATATTCCTATAAACACATGAAACGAAAAAGACATATAAGACCATTGTACAAGGAGTTCTACCGTAGTTCCTGTGTTGTCTCTTATTATCTTCAATAGAATTGGCTGTATCATCAGACATAGTATAATTGAATATATCGATATATAACAATATTAATAAAAACACAGCTTTGTATATAGTCTAAAACTTCAAAAACAGGTAGTAATCAAACCAGAATGTGTACTGTAGTGAGTCTTGTCATCGTCAGTGTAGTCTATACTCTCAGACTTGATACTATCAATCATATCAGTTTTGAATAAAATCTATCGATACTGAACAACAATCAAACAAACCAGATTTAACTAATATCAGTCATGATAAAACAGTATAAGTCATACAGGGCCCCAGATTAAGATAATAGGAAATTAAAGATGATTACTGTGCTATATCCTGATGTTTTTGGGATAGCTGTCTGTGCCCTCAAATCTAATGCAAGTAGAAAAATCTAATGCAAGTTTTAAATCCTGATACACTATTAACAATATCTTTTGCCATCTTTTTAAAGACTCTCCCTCTCCTTTCACTTCCCCAGGGTACATTGTGCATTTTTGGGTCTGACCAAGACCCTTGGTTTTAAATTGGTGGTGGGGGGGAACAATCTGCTATTTACCTAAGTGGTTCTGAACCTTCTCTCTCCTGGACTTGATCTCTAATTGTATTCCTTTACCTATTAAAGCCTGTCTTTCCAATCTATCCACAAATACTGGTCTAGTTGCTCTATCACTCTCTGGTTCTCTGTCACATAGAGCATTGTTTCTTCATATTTAATTTTCAGTCCATGTACTCTTTTTTCATGTTAATTATATTTCCTAAAAATAGCATCTCAGTGGACCCTACCTCCTGATCTACTCTACATGTGGTTCTTTTTTTTTTAATTTAGTGTATCAAGGCCATTTATATTAGAGATTATAACCAACCTTCTCTGCCTCATTTCTGTTGTGCTCTTTTTTTGCCGTAAGTTGCCTGCTTGTCTTCTTCATTGTTTTCTGCTCCATTCATTGAGGCCTCTCTGCCAATGTTCCTAGAATCTAGTACTTTTCTCTCTCTCTAGAATGTCCTGCAGTATTCTCTGAAGAGTTGGATTTGTGGTCATGAATTTCCCAAGTTCATCTTTGTTTTGGAAGCATCTTGTTTCTACCATTAATTTCTAGAGACAGATTTTCAGGGTATATCAATCTGGGCTGGAGGTTATAATCTTTCAAGGATTGGAATATTTTGCTTCAGGCTCTTCTTGACTTGATGTTGTGTTGAGAAGTCTGCCATGATTCTGATGGGCCTTCCTTTATAGGTGATCTGTTTCTTGTCTCTAACAGCTTTTAATATTCTGTTCTTATATTGAATTTCTGGGATCTTGATTATTATATGCCTGGGTGTGGCTCTGTTTTAGTGGTAGGTAGCTGGAGTTCTGTATGCCTCATACATATGAATATCATTTCTTTTTCCTATGTTTGGGAAGTTTTAATTATTTCTGTGAATAGCCTTTGTAGTTCCTTTGTTGTACCCCTGCTTCTTCATTCACATTCTTTATTCTCAAGTTATAGATCCTCTTGTCATCTTCTAGCCTTTGTATTATAATTGCTTATTTCCTGGTTATTTTTAAAAAGTTTTTCCTTTCATAATCACACATTGCAAAATTTTCCTCCAGTTTGGATAATCTATCCTTAGTTTCTTTCAAGCAGTTTTGCCATCTTTCCATAGAATTTTTAATTTCCTGGTAATCTCTTTGAATCTGCTTCATATATTCTATATTTTCTTTATATTCTTCATCATATGGTTCTCTCCTTTGTTTGAGTTCCTCCCTTCTTTGGTCTGTGTCTTCTTGAGGGGTGCTTAGCATCTCTTTTATTAATCTTCTTATATCTTGCTTTATTTGGCTAAGTATTTCCCTTTTGAACTCATCTGTGAGGTCCCAAAGATATCTCTTTATGTCCACTGGTGCCGTGTCTGATATTGCATGTTTGCTGTCCTCATTCTCCTTTGTATTTACCTGTCCTGGGTCATTGTTCTCAGGGTTGTGACCTGGGAACTCTTTCTTGTTGCTTCCTCTTCCCATCTTTTTTGTTTCTTCCAGGAGGCCCCAGTTTCTTTTTTTGTTGGTTACAATTCTTCTGAAGCATGCTGGCTAGGTAACCCTTCCCACTGCAGTGTGCTAGTGAGTTGCAAATAGGGACAGCATATCCCCTCCCCTCTGGATCAGTCAACCTGCTGAGGCCTTCCCTGTTTTAGTGTGTGCTGCCTCCCCTCCGGGTCAGTCAACTTGCTGAGGCCTTCACTGTGTTAGTGTGTGCTGCCGCCATAGGAAATTGATTTCAGATAACCTATTAGGTCTCAGTCAGGTCACATGACCCAGGCCTAACTCACTCCACCAATCCTGTTTGACCGAAATCACTGCTGGCCCATGTTCCTGCCAGTCCTGCCTGGTCCCAGAATGTCGTCTGTTGGAGCCCCCTTCTCTGTGGAATGGTTTTATTCCCATCACTCACCACAGGTTAATGCAGGTTCCCCACTAGCTCAGCTCTCCATTTGGTTCGTTGATCCCCGACCTCAGTGTGACTGTGTTTCCAGTGAGTTGAAGCGGCGGGACCTCGGTTGGCTCGGTAAGTTGCCTGCTGCAGTGAGAGCACTGAACCTTTAGCTGTTCCAGTAGTAGCACCGGGAATGTATATTTGGTTAATTCTTCTCACCTTAGTTTCTTCTTGGGACAAGAGAATTCATCTCCTTCTGTTCAGGACTCCCCATGCTGTATTATGTTGAATTCTAAGTTGACTATCTCAGGGAGCCTCTGTAGCCAACTGTTATCTATCTACCATCTTTACTCCTCCTCTGGTTTGATGTATCTTAAAATTCATATGTTCTCTTCTTTCAAAACATAGAATTAAAATATTAGCAGCACTATAACTTATTCTAAGTATTCTGGCATTTTATTTAACTGGAATATGAGAAAAACGAGGAAATTTTAAGCAGTGCATAAAAATTGAAGCAAGAAAAATAGCAGCAACAAAAAACCCTCATTTGAAATGCATTTAAACAGAATATAGTTTTCTTGTATTTTTTCTTAATGCTTTTTATTGACAACCAACTTTAGTATCTGAGAATGTGAAAGGAAGGAAGGAAGGAAGAGAGAGAGAAAGAAAGAAAAGAAAAGAAAAAGATAAGTTTAGCCTAAATAGAGCCCAAGTCATTTATGCCTTGGAAAAGGGTAGACAGGGGTAAGTTAGCACAATGCAGTACACACGGATTATAAAGTCATCCAAGAAGATCTCTAACTAGAATGTTACTGCAGGTAAGACATTTTCAGTTATGGCAAAATCTATCTCTAACTGACTAGATGGATTTTATATAGTCAATTCTGTGATTTGCTTACATTTTCTGTTCTAAACATTAAAATTATTTTTTGAACATAATTAATTTCACTGACTCTCCTGTCTGTTTTGTGCCTTGTTAAATCCCTAGCACTTATCACAATTCCTGGCACAAAGAAAGTATTCATTAAGCATTTCTTAAATAAATTTGAATAAGTAATTTACCTGGTTAATAGTGTATCTAGAGTTTATAATTTAAAACTAAATTATTGTTCTGGAAAAAGCTCAGAGGCTATTATTACAAACAACTTATTTTATGGTTTAAAAAACCCTCCCAAGTATTCATCATTGTAGAATTGGCTGTTGTTTTACATTGTGTGAATGGACTTATCTGTTCAGTAAGGAACCTTTTCTATTCAATAAGGAACTTTTTTTTCTCAATATTTTTCCTGCCATTTTACTTAGTCTAAGGAATAAACCAAATTTCATTATATAATTTATGTAAGTATATAAATTTTATTATATAATTTCATTTATAATTTATACTTTGAGTAGCTACTTCTAAAGTATAATTTATACTTGTAGGGCAAATGTTAAATTGTTACTGACGAGTAGCACATATAGAAATGAGTAATATAAATTATATCGAGTATATAAATTATTTTTCCATTTTGATTGCCTCTGACACACCAGATATACTTTGATATATACTTTGCCCAACAATATAGATGGGCAAATTATACCCTCGGTCCAACTCTGGCTTGCCACTGTTTTGTATAGAAAGATGTTTTTGGAACACAACCACATTTATTTACAAGTGATCTTTGACTATTTTCAAGCCAGAGTTGTGGAACTGATTAGTAGTGGCAAAGATGTGTTTCCGCTACAACCTAAAACTTTACTATCTCATTGTTTATAAATGAGTTTGTTGACTGATGCACCAAATATTTTAATCTTTACAACAACCAAAGAAGCACACTGTCTATGCAAAAAACTTAAGAGAATTAGGGAAGATGTTTAAATCATTCAAAGATACTTGGCACAGCTGGGACTCAATCCCAGAGTACCTGACTTCATATCCAAGTCCTTTGTTCTCTATCATCTTGCTGTGTTACTTGGTTCTTCATCTCTAAATGAATATTTTAAATTTTCAAAAACAAAACAAAATGCACTATCACACTAGTTATAGGAAGCAAAGATTCCTAAAAGGCTAATGTTTGATATTGTGATCTCTGTCTGTCTCTGAGTCTCTCTCTCCCTCTGGAAGGGGATGATGCATTTCAGCATGTGTCAGTGTTTTTTTAATAGCTATGGTGTGACCTTAAGCCACAAGAGATAGACCCTAAAACTACAAGAACCCAATTAGTTATGCAAGTGAATAAAAGAGGCTCACAAAATTGCTCTGAAGAGGAATAATAGTGGTGTCACACTGGAGTATGTATGCCTTCCCAAATGGAACAGCTGGTTCTCCGCTGCTGCACACCTGCCACACAAAGAAAACCTGCCTTGTTTTGCTCATTTTTCAATTTTTAAGGATAATGTAGAAATCTGGATTTTTGTATGAAGATTCTGTATTATATAGCAACTTTGTAACAGAATTCTTACTCTAATAGTAAAAGTAAAACAAAATAACATGGTAGAAAGTATGTGATGCTGTTACCATTTTATTCAAATAGAAATTGCATTATACATCATCTGAGAGGTGAACTTTTATTTGGATTAAGACAGGGTAAAGTAACTTAAAGAACTGGGATCCACAAAAGTTCAAAGACAAATAGGACATGCAACCTTGAGAGTCCTTGCTTTCTGAGGAAGATGGACATGAGCACCCAATTCTTTGGAGAATTATTATAATCGTTGAATTGTTATTTCCATACCTACTGACAAGCATTTTCTACTGGCTTTGAACATGTTTATGTAACCCAGGCCTGCCTTGAATTCATGATGATCCTCTTGCCTCAGCCTCATGAGTGCTGGGATTTATTTCACTCAAAATTATATTTTCCAAGAACATACATTTTCCTACAAATGTCTGAAATTTATCCCTCTTCAAGCTAGGTAGTATTCAATTATATACAGATATTACAATTTCTTTATCCATTTATCTGTTTATGGGCATGAGAGCTGCTTCCAGGATTTAGCTATTATGAATGTTGCTGCTGTAAACATTGGTGTATATGTATTGCTGTACATAGTATCTTTAGATCATTTGGGAAGATACCTAGAAGAGGAATAACAGCCAAATGAAATATCTAATTTTAGGTCTTTGAGAAATCTCCGTACTGATTTCCATAATGGTTGTTCTAGTTTACATTCTCACCAGCATAGGAGCGTTCTTTTTTACCACAGCCATGCCAGCAATTGCTATTTTTGATGGGTGCCACGCTTACTGGTATAAGATGAATTCTTAGCAGTTTTAATTTTCATTTCTCTTATAGGCAGAGCTGTTGAACATTTTCATATGTTTGTTGGCCACTTATGCTTTTTCTGAGATGTTCCTATTCATTTCACTTGCTCATTTCTTGAGTGGGTATTTTATTTTGGATGATCAATTTTTTTTAGTTTCTTTGGGGGGGAGGCTTTTTGATATAAAATCTCACTGTGTAGTCCAGGCTGGCCTTGAACTCCCAGTGATCTTCTGGCCTCAGCCTCCCAAGTGCTGGGATTACAGGCATGCACTACCACAACTGGCTTAAGTTTTTAATATATTCTTGATATTAATCCTCTGTCCAAGGATTAGCTGGGAAAAAATTTTCCCCATTCACATGTAGGTTGTCTCTTACTCTACTAATTGATTCCTTTGCTGTGCACAGGCTTTTTAATTTGATATACCATTTTTTGATTCCTGCTGTTATTTCTCACACAATTGAAGTTTTATTAAGAAGATTTGCTATGCCCATGACTTCAAGTGCTTTACTTATACCTTCCAATAGTTTTACTATTCATTTCTGAAATGTTCCATTTTGATTTTAGTTTAGGACATGGTGAGAGATGTGGGTCCAGCTTCAACCTTCTGCAAATAGCCAAATTTCCCAGCACCATTTGTTGAATAGACTATCTTTCCTTAGAGTATGTTTTTGGCCACTTTTTAAAAATATAGCTGAATGTGTCTAGGGATGTTTCTGTATTCACTAACCTGTTGTACAGATTTGTCTCTGTGCCAGTTGCTTTGCATGAGAGGTTAAAGTCAGGTATTGTGATGTTTACTATTTTGTACTTACTGCTCAGGATTGATTTTGCTATTCTAGGTTTCTTTTGGTTCCATATGAATTTTAGGATTGTGCATTTTCTAGTTCTATGAAGTGTGTTACTTTGGCATTGGATTGAATCTATGTAACCATTTTGAGGGTATGGCCATTCTAACAGTACTGGTTCTGCCTATCCAGAAGCAAAGGTCATCTTTCTACTTCTGATGTCCTTCTCAATCTTTTTTTTCCAGGGCACAGTAGTTTTTATTACAGAGGTCTTTCACTTCCTTGTCAGGTTAATTAATTTTTCTTGATGCTGTTGTGAATGATGCTGTTTTCCTAATTTCTGTCATAGAGTTCAGCATGTAGGAACTCTATTGATTTTTGTTATGTTTATTTTGTATCCTGCTACATTGCTGAATGTAGTTATGAATTCTAAGTGTTTTTTGGTGGAATTCTTTGGATCCTGTATGTAAAGTATCTTGTAACTTATAAATAATCATTATTTGACTTCATTCTCATATATTTCCTTTTATTTCTTTTACTTGCCTGATTGCTCTGGATAATATTTCAAATACTGTGTTGAATAGAATTATGGAAGATGCAAGCATGATTGAACAACAGTAGCTGAGAAACTGGAACCCAAGACTTTTGAATCCATGAGAATTCAGGATAGAATTTTTCAAACTTAGAAGCAATTTTATTTGTATTACAAATGCAGGTGAAATATAAAATAAATACACATAATTTAAATAAAATCTAAATTTACTTGAAATCACCATCATATAAAATCTTTCGAAAATTTTATTAGATTGAGTTGATTAGGTGGCTTTAGTTTGCCACTTTCATGTCCCTATACATGAGAGTCAGGCAAAGCCTCAGTGATGGCTTGGGGTATGGGAGTGCACAGATCCAGATCACTAGTGCTGGCACAGATATGCACTAAGTCTCTTGATGGACCTTAGGAGTGTCACATAAAATCCAATCCTGTAAGTGTTCTAAAATAGCACAACAAATTGAATCTTAACAGAAATGCTAACTACATAACTGGAGTTCAAGTTTTCCTGTGTTATTTAAAATTTCCACTCAAAACGCATAAGAGAGAATATCAAAGAATCTTTGGTAATCTAAACAGTTTGTAAAAACATATCAAAGAAGACAAACCTACCTTTGCTGTTTAGAAAACATGACCACAAGTAGCATCACTGTTAGCCCAAATATTCCAAAGATCATAATTAAGAACCATGGAAACTGGAATTCTGAAACACAAGAGCATGTTACTGAGGACTATGAAAGTTGAAGCAAAGGTCACATTTCACTGTCTGCTTCCACAGAAAAATATTTGCTAATTTGAATTTATGTAATAACCTTAAAAATAATAGAATGACAGGAGGTTTTTTTTTTGTTTGTTCTTAGAACATCTCTGTCTATTTTTAAATCTCACACTGAAGAATTCTTTCAAAATAAAATAGATATGGTTCAAACAAGCATGTTTAAAATAAAACCAAACAATCTGCTTTAAGCATCTAATTGATCAAAGAAGAATCACTAAGGGTTTTGCTCTAGGCCAAATTATTGTTTGTCAGATTTAACTGATACTTATTTAAATCTTTTTTTCTTTCTTTTAAAGGGTGATGACACATTTGGCTTCTAGGTTGAAGGTCTATCAAAAAATGAGATGGAGTCTCTTATTATGAATCATGACACAATTTCTTAGACACATAAAACATAATTTTGCAGCTTTAAATCCCTCCAGTCCTTCTGAGACTCCTATCTTCAGCTTGCAGGACATTGTGCATCAGACTTGAGGAAGTCTGTAAAGTTTTTATTTAATTTTTCGAGACTAATTAAATCTATTCCTCAAGACTAAACAACTTTGCACTTGTTTCCCAGTATTCTTAACAAAAGTGGCAGACACTTAACTACTTTTTAAATGAAAAAGATACATGAGATTTACTTCACTTTGCTTTTTAAAAAGTAGGCCTTTATGCTGAAATATACTTTTCTTATTTAATATATTATTTTCTTATTTAATATATTATTATTTTCTTATTTAATATATTATTAATATATTATTGATATATCCCATGGAGATATTAAGAATATCTCCCTGGGAGAATTATTGTGGGAGATAATACTATTTTGGATCTTGTGGTATCTATAATTCTATATCAGTGATAAATTTAGTAATCCAAGAAGCCAAAGCTCCCCCTCTTTTGTTTGAGCACTGAAAGAAAAGCCAATTAAGAAAAGCTACACTAAATGAATTATGCCATCATTAAGCTCAAAAGATATGTGGCAATTGTGCTTTTTAAACCATAATTGCATAGAATGAAATATTTTCTAAAAACATGATAGGTAACTAGAACTTAGAAAAAATGATGTGCTCATGTCAGCAGCATGTACACTAAAACTGGAAAAAATGGTGCTATTAAAGTTTTCATCTTAATGTTATTTAGTGGCATCCTATCTGTATGATAAATGCAGAAGTATAACTTCGTTATTATGATCATCTCATTACCAAACCTCACCTCCTCATTCAGCCCAAAAACCTTTGTTTTCAATTGAAATAGGCTATAGACAATTCTCATTTGAAAGTGATAACACTATACACTTTATTGCTCAGTATTAATCAGCATTCTTTATTTCTGTATCTGGGTTTAATTCTTTTATTCTACATTTTTCGGTCTTTTTAAAGACGTTAATCATCTTTATAGTTCTATCTCTCGGATCGTCAGACATTTTGCATTTCCTGGGAGTGTGCCTAGCACATAATTTACTAGGCCTTCCTTCAGGCAAAAGCTAAACCTGGACTTTCTAAAACCAGTAAGCACCATTACTACCTATGCAGATTCAATTTGAATCTTTCCCTTAGATGCAATATACATATTTACCTGTATAAGTAAATACTTTCTTTGAGATTAGAAAAACATTTGTCTTATTATAAATTCAAAACAAATTCAGAAAAATTTATATCAAAATATATGAAAACTTGCCTGCAATTCCACTATCTAGGAATAATCACAGCATTTCTCTATCTAAATTTTCACCTACCTTAAGACTTTTCCTGAATTCAATAATTTGGAAACCAAATGGTCCTTCTGGTTTTGCAATATACAATATCTGTTGTAGATGGTAAGTGCAAAGTCTCTCACCTTGGTTTCTGGTGTTAATGCATTTTGATCTACACAACAAGCTGACAGTTAAGGCATGTATCAACTGATATATTGACAAAAGCATTGTCAGCCTCCATTTAAATTTTTTTACCTTCTTCACATGTAAATGGGCTTGACTGAGGGAGTGTTATGTAGAGTATTTCACTGAACTCTCCATATTTATCAGAGTTTTGTAGTCTGGATCTTATGCGCACTTCATATTCTTTATCCAGTCTCAGTGAGTACAGTGGAACTGATGTTGACGTTACAGGATCCATCTTTCAAGAAAAAATGTAGTCTTATTGGCTAGGTAGTCAACAATTCAAAATAGTAGATGTGATAACTCGGACCCCGGTATGAAATTCAAGGAAGCAAGAAATTAAAATTTGGGAAGCAAAGGCTTTATTTCCAGGCCTGGTGACACAGTCTCTCTAGGGTCAACCCAAAGACTGCGCACCTCACAGCTAAAAGTTAGGGCTTTTATCTTGTAAATCCACAAACAGCTGCTGGTCACACAATGTAAGGAGGAGGATGGGGGTGTGGCACACTACAGAAATGGCGATTACACATCTTGGGAAGGGCAAGATCAGGTAAGGGTTGTGCTAACAAGCAAGTCTAGATAAGAAGAAATCTTGTTTTTCTCAGCAAAGAATAGAGAAGTCTAGCAGCAATTAACAACCTTAGTTACCTTACTTTAGCACCACAACTGTTATTTGTAGAGAGCAACAATGGTTAACATATCAATTAGGTAAGATTTTACAATTCTTTACAGAGGAGAGCATTGATTAATGTATCAATCCTTTGCCCAGAGGGAAAGGAACACACAGGTATTGCTATGATACAAACGAAGCTATTATAACCTAATGCAATTAACACAATTTGTGATGGCCTACCAGTTAGAGAAGGGGGTTTTCAGGAGCTATTACCTCAGGTCTTTGTTTTATGGCCTTTTAGGAAGTTAAAACTTAACCTAGTTAGATTTGAAGCGGGGAGAGGAGGAAAAGCAGCAGGCGGGCTTATACAGAACAGGCTTCACGGCGCAATAGTTAGGGGGCCTTAGGTTATTATAGTAGACTTCACATGTTCTCCCATTTGTATTTAAAATGGATTTCTATAAAGTGAACAATATTTTAAAATGCCTAGAGGAATTTGCTGTTTAAAATATAATTGAGACAAACCATGTAAAGAATCATTTTGATAAAAGGATAGTAGCCTTCCAATTTACTTTGGTATAAACCCAAAGATAGGATAGATTTGTTCAAAGAAATGCAGTTAGATTTTCACAGTGGTCTTTTATACATTCTACTAAGATTGAAGTATAATAGAATCATTATGAAGAATAGCAGAACTTAAAAAAGATTATAGACATATTGCCTCTTTTTCTGAGAAATTTCAGTTTTGTATAGAGGAAAACATTAGAGCAGAAAAAATGTATCTCAACATCAAAGAAATTTTATCCATAAGTTATATTATATATCTTTGTTTTTAGAAATTCTGGGTAATCATTTATTCAAAAATCAAAGAATTGTAAAGGTTCCCAGAAATAAAATAGTTGTCTTTACTGAATGTTCAAATAATTTTATTAAAAATAACTAGTTGCAAACTGCTTGTTCCAGAAAGTTTAAACCCACTGCAAAATGGTTCACAATTCAAAATCCACAAATAAAATTACTGAAATGCTTTGATAATCTGTATCAGTTTCACAAAGTTAGCATTAAGATATCATTCTCTTCCAGAGAAGAATATATTTAAATTATTAAACTCTTAAGATATATTTTATCAAATAGATTCAACTGATAGTGATGTTTTCCTCTAAATCAAATGTTTAGACTCAGTGGGTTTTTCATGTATTTTCAGGTAGAATACCTTGTTTCTGTTTCTAGAATACTTTGAACACTCATGTCTTCAACAGCATGGATTTCCACAGAAATAAAATTCTCATAATCTGTTTTATTAAGTCTAAATCTAGGCCTTCCACATTTGAAACAATTTTTTTTCTTCCCAGTGGCTTCTACTCACAAGTATCTCATTTTCCCCATGTTCACATGACATGGTTTGATTTTTTTGTATCTTTTACAGAAACCTCTGAATATATGTAATATTTGCATGCCTAAAATGCTTTATTTAAATTACCACTCTGAGTATTGCACTTATTTTATAATTTTTCTTAAAGTACTTCAAAAAAGTCTATGTTTTCATTCTTGAGATTCTAATTTCTGTTATTATCATGAATACTATTGAAAGAGTTGCTGGCCCAGACCGGACACTTTAACCAGGAGAAGCCTCAGCCAAATTAAGGGGCTCCTGCCTCCCCCGCCCCTATAGATTTACCTGTAACCCTATACCCCCATCCCTAAGAACCTGTCCCTGGCGCCAAACGTGTGCCAATGAAATACCTGTGCATCTCTAATGGCCTTAGGGCACTGCCCTAAGCTTAGGCTATTTATATTCCCCCATGCCACGTGTCCGAGAGAGAGATCGCCAGATTCCAGCGGCCAGTGCGCCAGTCTTCTCTCCCCGTGTTCCCGGAATAAAGGCCTCTTTTGTCTTATACTCCTCAACTTTTGGAAGCATCTTTTATCCTTTGAAGATAATCCTATCACTATTTGTAGATTTTACCAATGACAGAATCAAAAAGGAACTCTCAGTGATTTGAGCCTTGACTCTTTCCCCATTTTTTTCAATAGCCTACATGGGCAACACCAAACTCAAATTTTTCTCAAGTGGCTTCTACTAAATTTGACTCTGTCATTGGCTTTTATAGGGGTACTTATTCCTCCTAGCAAATTCTCAGTGAGAACACTGTGTACGTTAATATTTTAAGTTTTTTCTGGAACTTTTCTCCACTGTATTCTCCAGATTATAACACATTTATCTTATTACTTACTCTATTTCACTGTTAGAATATACTTATGCACATTTGTTTATATTATACTGCAATTTCCTGAGAGAACTCAATAAAAGTATCTCAAATACATATATAATGAATGGTGCATCATCTAGGAACTTGCAAAAGAAAAAAATGAATTCAAGATTTATCAGAAGAAAAGGAATGATAAACATCAGAAAAGAGATAAATGGAAAATATCAACAAAAACAAGTGTTGGTTTTTGAAAAAAAAATACAGACTTTCAGCTAGACAAAAAAAAGAAAGTGAAAGGAGACATTACAGTTGGTGCCATAGGGAAAAAACTTAAGAAATTGCTCTTTGAAGTTTAAATGCACTTTTAAATTGATACATTAAAAATAAAATGTATATACTTTGAGTTACTATGTGATATATATAAATAAATTAATATATAATATATAAATAAATTAATATATATATAATTTATTTTTGGTGCCAGGGATCAAGTTCACAACCTTGTACTTACCAGGCAAGCACTTAAGCCACTGAGCTAAATCCTTGGCATATATACATTTTTTAAATTTTACCAGATTTATAGTGAGAATCAGAAGATAAAACTAGTTTTATGTGGTTTCACCATAAAGGAAGTTGTGTAAAGTTAAGACCATGCAGAACGAGTTGTGGGAAAGGTTACTATTACAAAAAAGATAAATACTTGACGTCAGTAAGATAGGAAGAGGTTTGAAGGCCTGTCAGGTATAAACCACACTTACTCATCACAAGCTAAAAGGTTCAAATGGGCAAACCTTCGGAGGAGAGAGTCCTTGAGATGGACTACTAGGGAACTGGCTCTTAGCACTCATTTTGCTCAGTGAAATGGACATGAGCCTTTTGGAGTTCAGAGGTGGAATGATACGGTTTAGATCTAAAATGTACTCCCAAGTCTCATGTGTTTGGAAGGTAATTGGATCATAGGGTACTATAATCATCATTGAGTTCATTCACTGATTGATTCAGTAGCTAAAAGTGCTATTAGGAGATGGAGTTAGGTTGGGGGTGGGTCACTGGAGATGACTCCAAGGGTTAAAATACTGATCCAAATTCTCTTTGTGCTTCCTGCCGGTCATGCAGTAGGTAAGCACTTTTCTTTTGTCATACCCACCTGTAATATCATTTCTGCCATGGAGCTAATTAATCATGGACTGAATCCTCTAAAAACAGTGAGCCAAAATAAATGTCTCCTTCTTTAAATTGTGGGTATTTCTTCTCAGTAATGGGAAAGTGACTAATACAATAAAGTTGTAAGATACACAATCAACATACAAAAATCAGTAGCATTTCTATGTTATAATAATGAACTATTTGTAAAAAGAAATCAGGAAAACAATCCAACTTTCAAATTCTATAATAAAAATTATTTTGGAGTATATTTAACCAAGGAGGTAAAACATTTATGTACTAAAAGTCTAAAACACTAAAGAATAAGAATAAACAGAAACCTATCTTGTGTTTACATATTGAAGAATAAATACTGTTAAAATGTCCATACTATTCAAAATGATCTATAAAATCAATGTACCCCTGTCAAATTCCAATAATATTTTTTCACATAAATAAGAACAACAGTTGTAAAATTCATGTAGAATCACAAAATACTCTGAACACCTAAAGTCACTAGGCAACAGGAATAAAATTGGAAGCTTCCTGCTACCTGACTTCAATATGAACCACAAAGCTGTTATAATGGAAACAGTATGGTACTTACATAAGAACAGACACATAAACCAACATAATAGAATAGGAAGCTTCAAGATAAATTCAAGCATTTAGAATCAACTGATTTTTAACAAAGGTGCTAAGAATATGCAATGGGAAAGGTAATATTTTCAGTAAATGGTGTTGTAAAATCTGTGTATCCACACACAGAATGAAATTAGAGAATTATCTCACACCGTACACAAAAATAAATTCAAACTATATTAAATACTTAAATGTAAGATTTGAACTTCTAGAATGAGTCATAGGAAAATAGCTTGTGAACATTGGTTTGGAGAATGGTTTTTCTGGATATGACTATAAAATCTAGGAAACAAGAAGAATACACAATGGAATTAATATCAAACTAAAAATGTTCTGCACAGCAAAAGAAAGAGCAAAGTAAATACACATCCTATGGATGAAGGAAAATATATATAAACTAATTATATGATAAGGAGTTAACATTAAAAATGCATAAAGAACTTAACTAAATGGCAAGAAAACAAATGATTTTAAAATGGACAAAATAACCAAGTAGATATTTCTCAAAAGAAGATACTCAAATGGTCAACAGGAATATGAAAAATGCTGTACCTTAACTGTCAGTAGGAAAATACAAATCTAAGCCAAAAAAGATATTACCTCACTTCAGTAAAAATGGCAAACAAAAGACAAATATAAATAAATGTTGGCAAAGAAGTAGAGAAAATGGAATTCCTTCTCATTGCTGGTGGGAATGAAAATTAATGTAGTAATTATGGAAAAATAATATACAGGTTTCCCAAAAGATCAAAAATAAAAGTATTACATGATCTAGTAATTCTGTTAACGAGTTTATAGCCAAAAGAAATGAAATCAGTGATTCAGAAAAATATTTATACTTTCAAATTAATTGCAGTATTATTTACAGTAGCCAAGATATAAATTGATCTAAGTACCCAACCACTGAACAGGCAAAGAAAATATATACAGAATGTAATACTATCAGCCTTTAAAAAGAAGGACTACTATCATTTTGCCAATGCAGATGAACATGGAAGACATTAAGTGAAATAATGTAGGCACAGAATGACAAAAACCACATGGTGTCACTTATATGTAGAATCTGAACTCATAATTACAGAGAAGAAATGGTTACCAACATCTAGTGAAATGGAGCTTGAATTCTTGGGGATGTATTGGTGACAGGATGCAAAATTTCATTTACATAGAAGGAATACACAAAACAGATCTGTTGTAGAACATATGTAGTTAATAACTATGGTGTTTTTAAATTCACTAAAAGAGTACATTTTAAGTGTTCTCAGTTCAAAGAATGATAATTGAAGTAATACATGTATTAATTAGCTCAGTCAAGACATTGTACCCTGTTTATACATTTCACAACCTTGCATGTAAAATAATATATACAATTTGTCAGACAAATAGACTTTCACATTCTTAATATTAGCAACTTGAAAAACACTGCTTCATTGAAATATGTAGATTTTTGAAATTTTCATATTTGTATTATATAATATAAAGTGTCACTTTTACTTACATAACTGTGTTAAGAAAACCTTCATACACTGTAAAGTTATCAAGCTTATGTCTGTGCTATGCTTTCCAAAATTCTAATTTTGCCTTGAAAGTTCAAATTTTATGATTGGTAAAAATGCTGACAGTTGATTTTCTTGAAGTGACAAGTGTATTCCATTTTTCTGAGAAATATTTGACAACTTGAACACAAATAACCATCTGCTAGTTTATCAGTTGTTCTTCAAACAAAAATGGTATTCATTGGAAGATGGCAGCTAACTCAGCTGGCAGCTCAGTTGTTCAAATGCTATTGTTGCATTTTTACCTCCAAACGCAACAGAAGTGCATTATACATACTGCCCATGATGTGCCACAAGAATATTTAAAAAAATATGTACTCAAAGGTTGAGATTTAACTAAATAATTTTTACCGCTTTGTCAACCTTATCCATAGGTGGGGCTGCCCATCCCTTTCTTTACTGATGCAGAATACAGTGACTACTAGTAAAGTTTGGCACTAATGTCTTGATTCAGACTAAGTTGCCAATAGTTTTCTCACCATTGCTTTTGTGCCATTGTGTAAATGATTATATAGTGAACAAAAGGGAAGTAACATTTTAGTATAATAGGAAAACAGTATTGAGTTTGTGGACTCCACAATAGGGTCTCAGGAATGCTGAGAGGTCTACAGTTCACATTTTGAGATGTTTCACACAGTGTTTTGTACAAAGGAGTTATCTGTATAACTGGTTACTGAAAAATTGTTTGATTATAACTTGGACTTAGTCTTGCTTGACTTAGTATTCAATGAGACTTTTTTTGCACCAAGTTACAGACCAGGCATCTAGATTAAAATGAGTTAGAAAACCCCAGCTTTGTAAGTATTCAAATATGCTCAAATTTAACTTTCCTCTAATAATAAAATTGGCTTCTTTTTCATTAGTTCACTGAATGAGCAGGGCATGGTGTTTCAGAATTCTGGGAGTAAGCTGTGCCATGCTGATGGGTACAACTTGATGCCTGGCCAGAAAATGCTTGGCTTGGCTGGGCCTATGGCTGTGGTTAGACTAAGTTAGAATTTGTTATATTGGGAGCAGCGTGATTATCCTGTTTTCCTTCTTGTTGTGTGCCATGTGGAATTTATCTAAGTGCTGAGTTCCCGCATCTTTGGCAAGGAAGTGAGGGTTTCAGGGTCCAATTTGCTCTTTACTTGCCTATGTAGGACCCTTTTATCTTCATTTTCCTCTGAGGTATGTAACAAAATATCTTTCTGAAATCTTTAACAGACAAATTCCCTCCCTCACTCTTCTAGAGACACTTGAAATCTGATGTTAATAGTCTTGTGCATTGCAGAAATTAAAAGTATGGGAGGATATTTGGCCATGACCCATTGGGACCTTGATCATAATTCTTCTCATGTCTTTTCCAAAGAGTGCTAAGTGGTTTGAGTCCACAAGTTTGCTCTGTAGTTAAACAGAATATCAAAGATGACTAGGAAAATTGTTTTCATTCCCTCTGACAGGCTCATGATATTTAGGGTGATAACAGGATACTATTTCCTGTACTAGGAAATTGTGGGATATATAAAATGAGAAATCCGGTACAAGGTCAAAAGGAAGTCAAAGTATAAATAAATGGATTGTTGAAATAAAAGCAATAAGATCAAAATATGAAACGTAGTGACATCTTACCATTTTCCATTGAGTTTCATTTGTTTGTTTGATTTGAAGTTCATAGTCCAGCATTATCCATCCCTTCTTAACATCTGCACTGCGTGGTGGCTTCCATCTCACTTGGATATCCCCATAAATTGCTGTCGCACTAGTGTTCATTAAAGTCCAATTGAGGCCAGTGGGTGGATCAGGTTGCACTGTACAGTTCAACAGATAATTAGTACCCATATAGACACAAGTTAATATTAATGGTGTGCTTTCCTCTGAGGAGATCAAATCAATTTACACATTAATAATTTATACTTTTAAGTCTTCTAATATTCCTATTAGTATAACTCTCATCTTATAGAAGGATTAAAGATAAAATGTCTTTAACTTTTAAAAAAGTCTCTCCCAAAACTACTTTTTGAGCCTAAAATTTCATCTATAACTTCTTTTTAAAATATTTATCACATTTTATATCTCTTTTGATTCTCTTAGTATTAACACTTTGGGGTTTTGGCAGAGGAATTTAAACTCAGAGTGGAAGGAATGGAGAGTCAGATACTCAGAATTTAAATATGAGCTATTGCAGAACTAGATGCAAAAAAATTGTTTCTCTTTCACACAGTATGACATGGCACAAGAACCTTTTCTTACTCTTTTTTGTATCTCTTATATCTGTCTCCAGTTTTTTAAAACATGCTATAAGTGATCCTTAGCTTTGTCATCTAGTCACGTGACTGCTTCTTCAGATGTAAGAAAGATAATATTACCATGTTCTCCTTTTTATTTCAAGAATAAAATCAAGCACAATAAAACAATAAAACCAATCAGAAAAGAACAATGAAAGCAATAGAGAACTTAAAGTCAAGATAATAAGAAACCAATAATTGCCAACCATAATGTCTCTTGTTTTCTTCAAAATAGTGCCATCAGACATAATAAAATCAAACAAAACAAACACAATAAAACCAACCAAAGCAAAACAATGAATACATTATAGGATTTCAAAACCAGATAATAGGAAATCAACAATGGCTACCTGTGGGAGACAACTCCAGTGACTCCCTTTGAATACAAAACAATTGCTGTGACTTTGATTTCTTGGAGACTCATTTCCTTATATTGATATGTAAAAGGCTGGCTAGGGTATTTCCTTCTGTCTTCAATTGGCTCTGAGCATCACAAATAAGGCTAGCTGAGGGGCTAGTGTGCAAAGTTTATAGTCATCAGACAGTCCTGTTTCCTCTCATGGTGCTCTCCACAATATAGGATTGAGCTGGGGAGATGTTAGTGCAAATAACTCCGGGAATGTCAACTGAGTAGAGCATCAAGATAGAGGCTATGACTTCCCAGGGTACAAGAGTTTACATATCAAGAACCAAAGCAATAGCCCCCCAAAACAATTCCACTGCTACCTTAATTGGGTTATGTAAATCGATCCTTCTGCATGTCTTTATCTCTGCAAATTACAGAGATGCCATTCTTGCACCTGGCCATCCAGCTCAAGTTACTCAGTAATCCTGACATCCTCACTATCACTCATCCTTGAGCCACCCCCCTTTCTTCACAAGATAATAAATGCGGGGGTGGGGGGCTAAGATCAAAGCCTTTGTCTGCAGGTCCTCACAAGGATTGGACTTCAGATCCTTTGGCTGCCCTTAACTTGGAATATGTCTTGGTGTCTTTAACTCTTGCCATGGGTTGCATTGGTGGTGGTAGATTGGAATTAACTTGCTAGAATTCCAATAATGTCTCAATGGGATTACAAATACAACTTTTTGGATTATGAGGAAAACTAGAAAGAGGATTACAATACTTGGATGGCTGAACTCAATATTTGGGTTTACAATAGCTACCATAATATGCCTTGTTATCTTCAAAATAGCTGCCCATACCATCAAACATAATAAAATCAAACACCGAATAAAAACAAATCTAACAAAACAATGAAAACAATAAAGGAATTCAAAGCAAGATAATAAGAAACTAACACTTTTACAATATCTATTGTACATTTTGGAGCCCACCAACTCCTTCAGTGTTTTATGCTAGGGAGACAACATGATGTTCATCCTTTTGAGCTGAACCATTTCACCCATGAGCATGATTACGAGTTGGATCCATTTACCTACAAGAGCCTCCTGAGTAGCTTTCCATTGTATAAAAATATCTTATTTTTCTTATCTATTCTTCAATTGATGGGCAAGCTACCCTTGCTTTTTTTCTGGTTTCTTATTGCGTGGAACTCTGTTTTCTCTCTTTTTACTTTTGGTCTAAGAACTTCCTTTCGAGTTAAATGCATTTCTTGCAAACAGCATATTGATGGACCTTGTTTTTTGATCCACTCTCCCTGTGTTTATTTTTATTGGAGAATTGAGGCCATCTACAATGGTTACAACCAGTTATGCATTGGATCGTCTCTGCCATGCTGTTCTGCTGCTGTTGGCCTCGCATTTTTTTTCCTCCATTCAACTGCCTTCCCTGTTTGGTGATTCCCTTCTGCTGCTGTTCCTGCAACCATAGTTATTTTTATCTCTTTCTCGAATATCCTTCAGTATTCTTTGTAGGGTTGGTTTGGTGGTCATTATTTCCTTCAATTGTTTTTTATTATAGAAGGATCTTATTTTCCAATCAATTTTGAAAGACAGTTTTGCAGGGTACATCAAACTGGGTTGGAAGTTGTTTTCAGAATTTGAGACACTTCATTCTAAGCACTTTTTGACTTGAGGGTTTGTTTTGAGAAGTTTGCCATGATTCTGATTGGTTTTCCTTTATAGGTGATCTGTTTCTTTTTCTCTAATAGCCTTTAATATACTGTTCTTGTGCTGAATTTATGGGATCTTGATTATTATTTGTCTGGATGTAGATTTATTTTGGTTATGGTTAGTTGGATTCTTATATGCCTTCTTATCTGTATTCCAGCTCCTTTTCCATGTTTGGGAAATTTTCTGCTATTACTTCTATAAATACAGTTTTTATCTCATTTGTGTTGACCCCTGATTTTTCACTGATACCTATCAGTATTAAATTATTTTTCTTTGTGTCATCTTGCAGCTATTGAATTGTTATTTCCTGGTTCCTTGTTCTTTTAAAGAGATCTTTCCTTTCAGAATCCCTAGCTGCAATTCTGTCTTCAAGGTCTGAAAGTCTATCTTCAGTCTCTTTCAAGTGGTTTTGCCAGCTTTTGATGGTATTTCTAATTTCTTAGGTATCTTTGAATCTGTTTCATTCATTGCAATTCCTTTCTATACTGTTCACTCAAGGTTTTCATCATTTTCCTATGCTCTTCTCTTTTATCTATGTCTTCTTTAAATATGCTCAGCAATTTTTTTTATTATGTTTGTGACTTCTTCTTTTATCTGAGATATTTTTCTCATCTGATTACTTTTATAACCTCCTGAAGCTATCCTTTCAGAGATTTCAGGTGTGTAACTTCTGTTTTCTTCCATGTCTATATCTTCTAGACTTGTTCTGTGTAGGCCAGAGGTCTGAGATTGCCTTTACTCCTTTTTCTTGGCATTCTCCTGGGTTCCTCCCAGAAAGCCAGTTGTGGAGTCCCAGGCACTTCCCACATTGACTGCCCCTCCACAAGGTATGGGAATTGGCCAGGCACCTCTCTGAATCTGGTTCCCGAGGAGGCAGTGGGATATGAAGTGGGATTCTCCAGATCCATGCAGCTGCACTGAGGCTTCCTGATGGCCATGGGTACGTGGTGGTAGGGCTGCTTCTTCTCTTTGCCTGTGTGGCTACACCTCTGATGGTGGCAGGTGCACAAGCGCTTGTTTGTCTGGTTCTCCCAGCCCATGCTGGCTGCCCTCCAGTAGCAAATTTATCCAGTTGCATCCTGTGGGCTCATGGGTCATATCTGGCTACTTTTTCCCTGCCCATGCTGGTTATCCAAGTGAAGCAAATGCCCTGATGGCAGCAGGGGTGTAGGGCTGTGTCTATACCATACTTCATGAAACAGTGATGATTTAATATTTTCTGTGTTCTGCTCACCTATCATGTAGGCAATGTGAAATAGTGTTTTCTTCAGTTTCTACTCACATATTCTGCATTTTTAGATAGTTCAGTTGCATTATATTAAGACCATAGTACTACAGTTTCCCAAAGTTTGCTGAAGAAAAATGTGAATTCCACAGCTAGGAATTACATGCAGATTTGTATTTTTAGTTGCCTCAAGTACATTTTTCTTAGATAGCGCTCATTACTGAGGCTTTTGAAAATCACTTGCAGCTATAGAGTAACATTTACTTTCTTTTCTACAATACACAGATGGTGGTCTATAGTGCTACAAAGTCTGAGTCTCCAGTATTGATCAGAGATAAACATACAGATTTATGTTGTGAACAACCACTACTGATTGACAAATTTGAAAGTTTAAGGAGAAAGTTCTTGTTTTGATTCGTAATGCAAACAGATCTATGGTGAAAGAGCATGCTGCTAGCCACTGTGAAGTACATGACACTTAGAAAAATAGGGAAAAACTTTCCATATTTTTAAATCATAGTTATACACATCACTACATTTTATAGATTAAATCTGAAGGATGTTCCAATTACATCTACCCCCATAATGGCAGTAATACCTTGCTCTTTTATACTCTTTGGGGGTTTGAGGAATGTTAGTAACTAAAGCCTCAGGATAACAATCTATAAAAATGTTTTTGATGGAAAATTTCTAAAACATATTATTCATATTGTCTTAAAATTTCCCCGCCTACTTTGTGTGGAGTATGTAGGATCTTTTCAAGAAGGAACAATACCACATTAATAAGAATAGTAATGACCTCTCCCTTACCCCTACAATACATGTGAAATATTTAAAAGTATCTGAAACTTAATATCCAGAACAAAGATCCTGGTCTTCTTGTGCAATACTTACCTGATCCTTTTTCATGCCCCCCATTTCTGTTACTGCTGACTCTATCCCTCCAGTTGCTAACCTTAAAACAATGAACTCTTTCTTAACTCATCTTTTTCTCAGTGTCACATATTCTGTACTGTAGTTTCAAGATGCATTCAGACTCCAGCTACTTCTTTCTGCCCTGCACAGCTATAACTTGGTTCTAGTCATGATTTTCCATCCCTCCTGCCTCATTAGTCTCCTCACTATCCTCTTTCTCATGTCTCCCTTCAGTCTGTTTATTTCATACGGTCTTCAATATAGTAGACAGTGCTTGATCCTCTCAACGCTTAAATTAGAGACTATCAGTCACCATTTAAAGTGTTTCAAAAGGGCAAGGAGTGTTGCTCAGCAGTAGAATGTATACCTAGCGCCTGTGAGTTCTTGGATTCAATTCCCAGCAGAGGGTGGAGAGTGGAGCTCCAAGGCTAACTTCTCACATTCCATGTAAAACCAAAGTCATTACAAACACTTGAAAAATTGTATAATCTCTCCAATCTGGTCTTTTCCATTCCCTTCAGAAATATGAGTATTATTTTATTTCTGTCTTTATTCCGATGTCACTGTCTTAATAACTGTACTTACAACTGCATTCTCTCCAACACCTGATTTTTTTTCCATGTCATTGTCTTTTTCCAGCCTCACTGGAATTAAATTCTACTGGGACAGACTTTGTTTCTAGCACATAGAACACTAGATGGCTACAGGAAAGAATATTATACACATTTGCTGAATGAACTGAATGAATGACTAACATATTACTCAAAGCCATAAAACAGCCTGTGACATAGTGGAATATTTACATAGTACAGGAGAAAACTGGTTTTGTGGTACTTGACAATTTTTTCAAGACGTATTGGTTCTTTGTACTCACTTTCTGTCCCTTTCTTCTGCTTCTGTGTTATTGGTGTGACTCAGCCTGTCATCTTTTACCTTGATTGCATAATCTTTTAACCTCTCCATCTCTAGTCCTATTCTAATCTATAGATATGAAGATTAATTTCTCTGAGAAGTTAATAACATGACAGGTGGAACTGGATAGTCTTGAGCTTAAGAGCATAGAATCTGTAGGTTTAAATCCCAGGTCTACCTACTGGCTCATTGATCTTGAGTAACTCATCTAACTGCTTTGACGTTCAGTTGCATCATTTGTAGTCTGAGGATTAAATAGAACCTATCTCATATGATCATTATACATGGTGAGTTCTTTGTGAGTGTTATTAATAGTCTTTGGTTATTTCTCTGCTTAAGCACCTGAAAATACATCTTTTGGCAGTAAGATAAAACCCGGATTCTTTTGTGACACATATAAGAAAACTGATGGTTTCTCTAGTTGATGACTATGTCTATTTAACTCTTCCTGAGTCCTTGAATTTTCTGTGTGGATTGCCTTGTTTAGAAGTTAGTAGTTGCTATAAATCCCAGTCCACTATGATAACTGGCAACTCTCACTTGGGTTTTAAGGGTAAAGTGAACTGTCACCACCTCTGCAGCCCTTCCTTATATTTCAGGCCCAGTTAATCATTAATGCCTTTAGGTATCACCTTGGTCACTGTGTATTCCACTTACCTGAGGTCCAACATTTCTCAAAATGTACTTGAGCACACTGTACTACAATTGTTTGAATATGCCTGGCTTCCTTACTAGACATATCTTACCCATTTCGTACATGTGGGCTCTCAGTGAGAGTCAGTCAAGCAAATGAGGAGAGCTGGTTACTGGCAGGGATAGGGTTCGAGCACAGGTCTTAACTCTGTATTCTTACAACGACCCCATTCTACCATCCCATTTAGCATCAGATAAAGAGCTATCTCCATGGGGAGAACATATACTAAATAGTTTCTTTAAACTAGGCCCTCCAGTTATCTTTTCTGCTTATTACAGTTTTCTTGTCTTCTCTGTCAAAGTCAGGTTATCAGATTTTACTTGTTTCTGTCTGCAGCACCCAGTCAGGTTCCCCCAGTGTTTCCATCTGCTGATGATTGGAAAATCACAAAGAAGAGCAACGTATCTTGGAGAAGGGACAAGGAATTCCTATAAGCAACAAATGAGCTTTTGTTGGTAGATTTTGAGGCACCAAGTTCAGCTACTCAAAGTCCCTCTTTGATTCTTTTCATTTTTGTGCTTATACTATTAGAGTATAAACATGTACATTCTAATTTTAGTTGTTTGTTTTGTTTTTTTCTCTTGTGTACACATGATGGGCATTTTTGACATCTGTGTAGACTTTGACTTAGTTTGTTGAGCTGATTATCACCAATATTTGTTTTGAGATCTTATAAACATGTCTTTTGACTGTGACTGTTTTGTAAGTATAAGATTTGAAAATTATTGTGCTTTGTGATAAAAAAAATCTAGGCTTTGATTATACCAATGACTGAGGGCAAAGATCAACATATTTCAGTACATCTCAAATATAATTGTATAAAATAATTAGGAAAAAAGGAACCTTAAACATACAATGAATTTTCCCCTTGCGGTGGCACAGAAGAATGCAATCCAGGTTTGAGGACTTTCAAGAGGAAAAGACTTCCATTATTTTCTTCACAACATTTTTCTTCATGACATTTATTGCTAGAGATTTTAATGATAGAATCAATTTAACTTCTTCCTGCTCTTTCCTTAACACTTTTTGTGACATTTATTGCCAGAGTTTTTAATGATAGAATTAATTTAACTTCTTCCTGCTCTTTCCTTGCATTCACAAACTGATCCTATCTCCTGTCAAATAGACTCCATGTACCTAAAGAAAATTATTCCAAAACCTTTCTACTTGATTATACTTGGAAATGGAGAGTTTCCTCACTTATATTGTCTAAAACTATGTCAAGTAAAACAAACCTGTGAATTACCTATTTCCTCAACATAGAAACACTTTTCATCCACTTTACCACCATTACTAGTTAGCTTGACACAGTAGGGCTTCCAAATGGAGGTATATGATGAGTTAAAGTAACAGCTATTTTCTCCAGCAGAGACATAATCAGGGCATTCTTTCCATTCTTGGTTCTGCTCTTGAGAGTTCCTGAAATGGAGAATAAAAGAGGATTAGTCATCCTCCCAAATCATGCTATAATTTAAGTCAAAGTGAGTGCTTGACAGATTAAATGAATAAGAAATGATTAAATGATAAAATGTTTTGCATTTCATCAATACTATGTCCTAAAAGCATCACATGTATAGACAATTTCATTGTGGCCTGAAGATCCTTAGGAGGTGATTTAATACTTCTGCCTAGAGTGAAGGCATCCATTTATTGAGTGCCTGTGTTGGACCAGCACCTAAATAAGCACTTTCATGATAGGGGCTTTATTATTTACATTCTAGAAATAAAAAATTTCTGGGCCTTAAGAAGGCTTAAAAACGTTGCTTTATTAAACCGTTTAGAGAGCCAATTTCTAAACCATTGAGATTCCCAGAGAACAGTGAATCTTTGTACCTAAGTTTTTTCTCCAACTCGCAGTGAGAGAAACTGAGGAGGCATACTGATTGTGTGCTGCATGCTGAGTCATACGTTATACCCAGCACTAGTGCTGTGCAGATATAATGATAAATAAGATTTGATCCCTAACTGCAGGCTAGAAGAACTCACACATAATCATGAGTACTTTTTTTGTTCTCTTATATTCGTCCCATTGATATTCTGTGAGAATATAATTACATATGTATAATTACATATTAGACACCCCACTGGACACTATGAAAGATGTATAAGAGCCTAAGGAATAACTTTGTTCTCAAGAGAAAAGACTAAAAACTATGTTACAAAGCATTGTGGGCAAGCATTCAGAGGTAGAGTTCAGTGGGGTCCTCCAGAGTTCAGAAACAGAAATAATTATTCTGTTTATGGAAGGCAAGGCAGTGTTTTTAGCAATGCTGAAAGATGGGTAAAAGTTTAATAGATGGCATTAAGAACAGAAAAGAAAAGAAAAAAGAAAAGAAAAGGAGGAAACAGCAGTCAAAGGTGTTGAGGTAGGAAGCATGGACATAAGTGAGGTGAGCTGAGGAACAGTGATTGAAAGGACTTTTGTTAGACTGGAATTGCTGCTTGGGTGGGAAAGTCCATTACTCCTGTATTATTTACTATCCCATATCTGGTGAGAAGAGAATATGTGAGTAAAGGGGACATAAAACAATGAAATCTTTAGTCAGGAAAGAAGAGGCACAAATGATCCTGGTGCTTCTGGCGAGCACATGTCTATGGGGGTTGGGGACCATTCCACTGTGGGAAGGTGTGTGTAGCAGTGGCCAATGAGGACATTGCAGGCTGTGAAGAAGGTTGGGCCTAAAAGAAAGGAATGATAGAGAGGGTGAAGATACATATTTTTCTCTTTACAGCTGTCTATCAAGCTGGTCCCTGGCCCTAGAAAGAAACTTATGCAGGATTGGATGGTCCTTTGGGCAGCTGCTTGTCAGCTGTTGGAATAAATTTGGAAATAAAATGGAAGATATTCCAGGGTCTGAGATATTGAATTGTTGCTTAAATTCTAGTTGAGATTCTTAAATATTGCATGACTTTGGATGAGTGACAGAGAGTCATCCCTTCTGGGAAAAATGAATTAAAGGCAAAAGAAAGGATCATATGTTTGCATGTACATGTGTATTTAGAGTAATAGAGAAAAGATTAAAATATTAGGGAGTTTTGATGAGACATCAAATTATAATATTTTAAAATTTGATCTTGAAATTCAAACTAAAAATGCTTAAGAAAATGGTTAATAAAAATTTCAATGCATAAGAGTTTCATATAATTGTAGGGAAGATATCAAATGTACCTAGAATAATTGATAGTATAAAAGTCAGAAAATTTGAAGTATTAAGATATTCCAAACACGTAGAGTGGTGCTTGGCAAGTCTGGCTTTGTCATAGGGAGGCTTGCTCTGTTATGTTTAATAGTTTCTCGGTTTTGGCAGGGTTACCATAAGGCTCTCATGAGGACTGTGGGAAAAACTGTTTAGATTAACTCAAATCCGTTAGCTCCACAGAACAAACCACTCATAGCACTTCTTGTTAAGAATGATGGATCAGGAATAGCTAACTCAAAACATAACTCCCTGTGTCCTTCATTTACCAAAGTTGAATAAATATTTAAAGCTCACTTATAAAATTATTAAATCTAGACATTGGCAAAATAATGGACCTGAAATAGATACTTCATTGCTGGCTTCACAGGATTACATTTCTATACAGAAGAACAAAGCCAATTTATAGAAGTTACTCTTTTCTTCCAAAAGATCAACACTTTTGGTTTTATCCTAGATTATCTTATGAAAAGAGTTATAACACAGGAGAATATCATCAAAAATCAGAGAAAAGAGAAGAAACATTTTATAGCTAAAGGGAACCAATCAGAGAAGAATTCATAAAAACAAAACATTTATTTTTTAAGGGCAACTGATTCCATTACATATAGCTCATGTATTTTTTTGGCTTAAAATTTAATCTTCTGGAAAAAGTGTAAGAATACCCCTGTCCCCTTCTAATTTCCCCTTCAACTTTGCATGGGAAACTAAAAACTTGTTTTTAAAAAAGGCCAGAGTAAAGAACGCTATTGTGGAGAATGGCAGATGTACGAAAATACACTGTTAATGAACCAGGTGCTTCCATACCCACTTCCTTTGAAAATAATGTCATATCCAGTGGGGGAGCTGAGGGTCCAGTGCCTCTGTCATGCTTCCTGAGCCTGCTTCTATGATGCCTGTCATTTGCATTTATACTGCATTATATCTCAAAGCTCAGAGGCTGAATTTGGCATCATCTCCATCACAGGGTGGCAGAGACAGTTCTGAATCAGCTGTCTTAATATACGGGGGCTTCCTCTTCTGCCAGTTCACCTGACAAGGAGCAGGACTAAGTAAAACACAAAAGCTCCATGGTGCCTGTGCCGTTGCTCTCCTATCGACAGCCTGACGTGTTCAGATTGTCTTGTGCTTAGGATAACAATCAGGCCACCTGACTGGAGGCCCATCACACCATCCCTTTCCCTGTTTCTTTCTGCATTCAGTGGCTGTAGTGTTGGGTAAAATCATGCCACAGTGTTATGTGGGTTAGGGATGAGAAACATGATTCTATAGTTTCAGCAGTGTCTAGGACCTGAGCTCTAAGAAACAATAGTCAGAGTCAGACAGCGACCTATATTGTCCTTACTGTGTGATTTTGAATGAATAAATTAATTTACTCATTTTGATGGAGCTAGCCCTGTGTTGTTGAGGAAAAGCACGAAAACTGCACCTACAAAGTTTCTCTTCCTTTGTGAGTAGCACAATCAATTCATACATAGTTGAGGTGAATAAATGGTACGTTGTGTACTCATCTTCGTGTACTCTGTTATGTCCAAAAGCCCTTTCTCTCATCTGGCAGATGAGTAAGGCTACTTCTGGTTGCCAATGCAAAGTATTTGTTATCTTCAAATTAGTCATTCAGCTTGTTTTGAAAATGGTCTTACAGCACACCAATAACATCCACAGTAAAGCATTAAGAAATCATTTGTATAGTCCAGACTTGGGACCGTACATCATTGTTATTTGAAATTATTATTGTACTACCAACAATAGGAAGAGCAGTTACCTTTTGATGAATATTTATTATGTGTGAAAGTCTATGCCAAAAATTTTTGAGTATCATTTAACAAAACCCTCGCAAGAAGCCACAAAGCAAATTGATCTCCATTTTGCAAGTGAGGAGGCTGGGTTGTACATAGTTGGACTAATTTGCCCAGTGTTGTCTGGTGAGTAAGTGTTAGACAGTAGAGCAAGGCTGAAATGCAGTTTGTGGTCCTGACCTCAGGTCCTTGAATGCTGGCTGCATCTTCCTATTTCTTTTTCAAGGCCTCAGCGAGTAGACAGCATCATTATTCAACTGATAAACAACAGATCAAGCTTAAGGATCCTCACTAAGTTTACTGAGTGGCAAAAAGAGATGTTGAAGTGTTTACCCTGAAATTTATAAAGGTAAAAAGGTATAGTGTTGTTTTATAGCAAAGCAGGGTGACTGTGGTGACAACAATTAACTGAATACTTCAAAACTGCTAATAGACAATGTTCCCAACATAGAGAAGCAATAAATGTCTGAGATGCTAGATCCACTACCCAGATTCGATAATTACACGCCATAAGTGTGTATTGAAATATCACAGGATGCCCCATAAATATTTACAATTACTATGTATCATTTAAAAATGGTATAATGTTAGAATAATAAAAAGGAAACAATGCCAAGTAAGGAGTTAAAAATCAACTAATTAAGTGGTGACTACATTTCAAGACCTTTGTTTTCTTCTTCTTTAGTTATTTTTCAGGGCCATTAGTAAGAATGAGAAAGTATTACAGTTCTTCAGTATATATAACTCATTTAAGAGGAACACAGTCTATTCTCTACGTAGAAACCCAAGGTAAATCTTTAAAAACATACAGTTTTAAAAGCACATCTATGGCTTCCCACCACAAATAAAGATTTAAAACCCTCTCTGGCCTCGATAGCTTAGCATTTGTCTGTCCCCAAGAAACTCTCTGCCCACATCAGTCTCTCTCTCCCGTTTTCAGCCTTGTGCCACTCCTGCTGGCCTTTCGCTTGCCTCAAACATGCCAAGACTGCCCCAGATTGTACTTGCAATTTCTCCTGCCTACACAGCCTTTCCCTTAGATATTCATGTGGTCACTCTCCCTGCATTTTTTTCTCTGCTCTAACACCATATTAGAGAGGCCTCGTATAACTCCAACACCTCAAATATCACTCAAGCCTCAACAAACACTGTCACTCTCAAACACTGATGTATATCCCCATATTCTCATTCCTATTTTGATACGCACATGCTCAAACAGTGCTGACATTCTTCATCTTTATTCTGGATGTATTTTTTTAAATAACCCGATGTTACCATCTGATACTTTATTTTTTATTGTCTGTATCCCCCACATTGGGAGAGAATCTCCATGAGACCAAGGATTTTTATCTTTTTTGCAATCACTGTTACAGCTCCAGTGCCTAAAACAGTGCCCACCACATAGGAAAGGCTTACTTATTATTTTTACAATAAATGAATGAATACATTTAGGTCTTCAAAATAAATCACCTCTATTCCAACAGTTTAATGAGAAAAATATACCTGTACTAGATGCAGGTATACTAGATGTACATGGAAAGAAAAATCAGAAAAAACATGAAGGACACACCTTTTAGTATAGAACATCTGTATGAATCCTGTGCTCTTTAAACCATGAGGACCCTCATCTGTCCAGTGGCATGAAAAAGTCTCTAGCTCAGGTGAACGGCACTTGGTGAATTTAGGGTTCCCAGAAGAATCTGTAGAATAAAAAAGCAGGCTTGAGATTAAAGGGTCAAATATGGTCCCAATGAAACACATATTCAAAGTATGTAGAGGAGAAACTATTACGATAAAACTAGCCCATGTCATATCTAAGAAGTGATGCTAATGTCTTCCATAAAAGTTTTCATAAGTCATAGTTGTAAATCTATTGCTTGCCAATATTAAACTCTGACTCTAAGACAAACTGTTTCGCCTTTATTTCAAGCATTATTCCTTAGGGTCTATTTAATAAACAAGAACTAGAGATAAAGATTTCGGTACAGGCTGTTGAGCCTAGAAACCAGAAGTGAAAGAACAGGGAGGATGGTAAGGAAAAGCAGAACAGAAATAATGCATGTGCTGTTGTTGAGCTGGTTACCACAATGGCCATTTGGATACTGTGTGGGATTTTCCTCACTATTATCCTATAGAAGGAGGAAAGGTTGATACTTATCTACCAACCTGAAACCTCACAGGTTGAGAGTGGCGCTGGAGATGTTTACTCTCATGTACTTTAGGCTGTGCCTGACCTGAGCTGAAGGTGCCAAGCAACGTGCATGGTGGCAGCCGTCCTCTGCAGAGGGCTGAGTTGACCTTAGGTAGATGCAAGGGATATGGCGTCTAGTACAACCATAGCATCTAGTACAGGTATATTTCTCTCTATAGGTTTTTGGTTAAAAAATTACTTCTCCTTACATTCTTTTAAGGGATTCAACTAATAAAATTAACATAAACTATAAAAACATGCATTTATGTGTGTCAATTTTAATCTGGGAAGTAGAGAATTGCTCTCATGTGTTAGAATATTAGTGAAAAATTTGTCTACATCTATGAAATTTGCAGCTGTAGGTGTGCAATGGACAAATCTGGAGCAAAACTCATTTTTGTGTATCAGTTCTCAGTGTTTTGACACCCAGGCCATCCTGAAGCTCCGTGCCATGTCCTCCTCCCTTTCACTCTAACCCTTTCCTCTACTCGCTTTCCCTTCTTCCCTCTTTCCTTCTACTCTCCCTTTTCTTCCTTATTTCGATCATTCTTTCCTTCCTCTCTTCCACCTTCCCTCCCTTCCTTCCTTTTGTTATTTTTTTCTTCCTTCCTTTTGTACTTTCCTCCTTGCTTCTTTCTTTCCTTTCTTGTTCCTCACTTTCTTCTTTTTTCCTCTGCTCTCCTCTTTTCTCTCTTTTCCTCCTTAAGTGATTAGCTTTTACTTTGATTGGAAACTTAATTTGTTTCCTGATCTAAAACTCATTCTCAGGCACTAGGAAAACACCCAATTTGAAAAGTATCGTTATGAATACTTTAAAAGATAATTCAAAATACATGAGATGCCAACAGAGACATAAACAATTCTGGTTCTAAATTCCAGGTATATACCTGGTGTTCTGAATCAAAACATAACTCTTTTTCCTTTGATAACAAACTTGTGAAGGATAGACTATTAAAAACCTAAATAAACTCATTGGTCATTCAGTCAACAAACACATTTGTGTGAGTTTTTATTCTGTGAATAGAACAGTGAGCAAAACAGATACAGTTTTGATCCGATTGGACTTTTGATTTTGGTGGGGCTGGGATAAGGAGAATGAGAAGGAATGACAAAACTGAGAAGAGGAGAAGTGGGAAAAGGGACCTTGTCCCCTTTCCACTAACAGCCATATTAGTGTGAAGTAGCTCAGGCTTGGGAAATGTGCCTGGTTAAGAAAACCTGTTGTTCTGAATAGTTCACTAGAAAGTGAACCATTAGGAAACCCAGTAATTTTCATTTTAGAAAATTAAAAATCAAGGGATAGTTAAATCACAACTATTTTAATGCCTAGAATTTAAGGAGAACATTTCACATATGACCACTCATTTACACAAAATATAAGAGATGTACTAGATTAGAAATTTAGAGGTTTGTGTTCCAATCCTGGCTTTGACCTTATTTAACCTTAACTTTCTTAAACCATTTAAATTGTTTTTGTTTCCCCACTAGAGAATCTGGGATAGATAATTTACAAGCTCATGTTTACAATTAAGTGACACAGAACCATCAAGAATAATGAACAGAACCAAAACATAACGTCAACATTTGAACTAAACAAGCAGAGAACCAAATGTAAGTATCACCCAGGTTTCTATATTCTCTGTATAATATGCCTGTCACATAAAGGAAAAAAATGTTAAATCAACCTAAAACATGGAACAGAAATTTCTATATTCTCTTTGTAAAATGCCTGTCACACCACAGCAAGAATAATTGACCAACTCATAACTTAAAACAGAATAAAGAGAAATAGTTTGCTAGTTGGAAAAAAGCTTAAAAAGAATAAAAGAACTAATGTAAAACACATTTAGCTTAAACTCAGTGTTATTTTCTGTATTATTTATTCGTTTCACTTTAACTCCAGATATATAGAAAACCCACATTATCATCTCATTCAAAATAAGAAACAGGAAATTCATAGTTGTGGTGCTTATATGAAGAACTGGGTGGCCACACATGCGATCTTGGGACAGACACAGTGCAGCAAAACTATTTTTAACTTTAAAAAAAAGTCTATATTCCCTTCCCTTTTACCTTCCACCCCCCCTTTTTTTTTCTTTGCACTTTACTTCTTTATGCCCTTCTTCTTTTATGGTGAGGTGTGTGTTATTAAGTGCTGTAGCAGATAAAGAGCACCCCTCATGACTCCTGCATCCTTTTATTTAGTTGTATTCTTCTTCCCCTAAATAACTTCCTTCTAATCTGCAGTCTGTGGCAGCACAGAGGGGTTGCCATTCCATGATTAGATTATGAAGATCAAGTTTCTAACCAGAAGATCCAGGCTTTTGTGGATATTGATGACACTAGCTTAAATGTGGATGTGAATCCCGTGACAAAAAATTGAAGGTGGCCTTTAGTCAGTCAATAGCACTAGGCTGAGGTCTGCAGTCTAATAGCCTTGAGACCTGAGCCCTGCCAATGTAAAGGAGCATGGGATCCAGTCCTTCCTGTTCTAGAGTTCAGATGAGTGCACAACACTGGCTGACATTTTAATTATAGCTTTGTGAGACAGCCTGCAGTGGATGAACCAGCAAATGGGCTAATTATTAACTGTGTTAAATATTTGACTCCTATGGATACATAATAAATGAACCTAATATATTGGAACTTGAAAAGCAGCATTCAAGGATGACAGATGTGATACTTTTCCCATAGCTGAGCATGGGAAGTAAATTTTCTTTTGAAGTGTGGCTGTCTGCTTTGCTCCTCCTTATCTAGCACCACTGTCACTGAAGACATTCAAAGTCCCCAGAGTCCAGCTCTTTGTTGTCATCCTGAGGCTTTCCAAGACTAAGAAAAAAATGGCATAATCTTAAAGTGAGAACATTTTATACCAACAACCAACAAGTGGGATCATATCAAATTAAAAAAAAACTGTAGGCAGAGGAAATAAACAAAAGAGGGAAGAGACAATCTGCAGAATGGGAAAAAACTTTTTCCAATTATTTCACAAGCAGGACAAATATCTAGAATATATAAAGAACTAAAAAGTGTAGACTTTGCCTCCAAATAAAACTCTCAATCAAAAATGAGCAATTGAAATGAATAGACACCTTCTAAAAGACGAAGTACAAGTGGTCAGTAAGTATGTGAAACAATGTTCAGAATCTTTGACATTAGAGAAATGCAAAGAAAACAATACCAAGATTTCACCTTATTTCAGAAAGAATGGCTATCATTAAGAACTCAAAAAAACCAAAACAAAACAAAACAAAAAAACAATGCTGGTGAGATTGTGGCAGGGGACGGGGGAAAGAAACACTTCTACACTATTGGTGAAAATGTAAACTAGTTAAAACCATTAAGGAAATCAATATGGAGATTTCTGAAAAAATTAAAACTAGAAATCTTATTGTACCTGGCTATATCTCTTCTGGATATCTTTACAAAACAGTTAAAGACATAACAGTGAAACATGCATTCCAATGTTTATAGCAGTGCACCTCATAATAGCTAAATATAGCTCGATACTCAAAAGATAAATGGATAAATAAAATTTCAGTTATTTATGGGAAAATGAACATCCCTTGAGCTTATAATGTTAAGTGAGAGAAATAGTCACACAGGCATAAATATCACATGGTTGCTCTTACATGAGAAATCAAAAGTATAAATAATTCAAAGAGCAAAATAAAAAGGGAAGTTAGGAACAGAAAGGTAGACTTTGTGAAGGTGGAGTGGGGGGGACTTAGGAAAAGGGGAAACAAGAGGGAGGAGGGGCAAGGGAAAGTAAAGAGGATTAAGACAGAATGTGTGTATGTAATAATTCCCCATGATGAATACATTGCTCATGGATCACAAAGGTCTACTGATAAACATAAAATGAGCACATTTCAAACTATGTCTGAAAATTCTATTAAACTTTGTTTTTCTCCACTTCATTATAAAGACAACGAATGGTTACTAAAAACTCTCAAGTCCTTGCTGACAAATGGTGGTCATTTGTGAACTAAAAGTTTTTCCTTCTCTGAGTTTTAAAAAATACTTAATCTCTATTGCCAGCTGTGGTGGTGCATGCCTATGATCCCAGCACTTGGGAAGTTAAGGCAAGAGAATCACTGCAAGTTTGAAGCCAGCCTGAACTACACAGCAAGACCCTGCCTCACAAAAAGACCTAACCTTTAGGATATGTTATGATAACTTTAACCTTTGAGATATGTAAGTATATGACCTTCCCATGATGAAAGTAATCATTATGTCCCACAAACATGTACTAATAAAATTTTTAAAAAGTTTTAATTTAAAGGCAGTGTAGTTCATCTACTATAGCATCTTTGGAAAGAAGGTTGTAAATGACAAGGGAGCCCCTCTATGTCCCTAAATTAATTACCAATAAAAGAGTGCTTGAACTCTAGTGATCTCATAGTTTGAAGAAATGTTAGCATAAACATTTGGTCATCACCCAGAAGTCTTGGCAATGGGTTTGGGGTTCACTGTCATTTCTTCTTTAGGGTCCTTATGTATATGAGG